AACTCGTACCCTTATCAATGCAAGCCAACTTTGTTCAAGAGTCCTTTCATTTCTAAACTATACTCAAAAAGATATGAAAATTTTGGATTTTTCAATATGCAACTTTGTTCCTTTTATGTGACAAGTTTTCAAGCGAGCGGGCAATTCACTAGATGATAAATGATTATTCCCCACCATGGACATGTATAACACTTGCAGGGGCCCCTGTGACCTTACTTACCTGAATAAATTTGAAATTATAAAACTTATAGTTTAAACTAGTTTTCTAGGAGGCCGTGATATTGTGCCGGACGAGCTTGTCCATTCGTGCAACAACAAAACCTTTCCCGTGAATCAAATTGAAACGAAGAATAATAATTAATTAACATGATCTAAATTTGACTTGACTTTAATTTCGAAAACGATAGAACAAGTACCAAGATTATACAAGTTTTGAATAAACTTGTATTATCTTGGTATTAAGCAAAGGAGCACCTTTTTTTTTTTTTTTTTACATGGGGAAATCCATTATGGATACTTGGCTCTCCGCTAAGAACCAAGTTATGTCGGACTCGCACCGACTAAAACCCCATGGTGGTCGCCATCTGCTGATGAGGGGTCACGGGACCTCCATTCGGAACACCACCGCGCCCCTCCTTAGCTTGCCTATGATAGCCCTTCCGAGGACGGTATTACGCCAGCCCTAGCACCTCCTGTAGGGTCTTTACTGGGCAATTAAGGGATTTTACCCCAATCGTGACACCTGAGGCCCCATTTCTGGCAGGGGAGCACCATTTCCGATTGGAGCGCCGTGAAGAGGCGCATAGATGCGTCGCTGGCCCCGTCTCCGAGTGGGATCAGTTCTTTCTCGATCCCGCTCAGCAGCCTCTTTCTGGACCATGACAGTCTCACAGAAAGACGCTACGGCATTCCATGCCGTTTCTCCTTTCATCATCGCCGAGACGACCGCTGGCAGACTGAGATTTAGCCCAATGTGCCCTACCAGGATACTCCGCTCCGCATCCCAGGCGGGGCACACCGCCAAGGTATGCGTTGCGGAGTCTTCGTCGTTTCCACCACAGTGGAAGCAACCCGCCGTCGCCTCACGTCCTATCTTCCACAGATAATCACTAAAGCAACCATGCCCTGTGATTATCTGTGTTAGCCTGTAGGTCAGTCTACCCTCTCTCCGCTGCATCCAGGTGTCGAAGACCGGCGGGAAGGCTTCAATGACACGCTTATGCGCGTATTGCTCTTGGCTGAGCCGAGAGCGCCACGTCGCCAAAGCTCTCCGCTGTTCCTGCCGTTTGATTGATTCAAACGCCTCTTCTGGCTCACTGCCACCACTCTGACGAAGGGCGCGTTTTCGGTGGTACACCCGCGCATCCATTTCCGCCAGTATATCCAGGGGTGGGAAGCGAGCCAAGACTGTTGCCGCCTCGAATGATATTGTTTTGTAACCACGTACGACCCGTATAGCTATCCGTCTCTGAACGCTATAGACTTTGGATCTACAGCGTCGCGTAGAAAGCCTTTTTGCCCAAACAGGCGCCCCGTACAAAGCTACGGATCGTACAACTCCTGCATAGAGGCGGCGAACTTCCTCCCTCGGTCCCCCAAGATTAGGTAGTAGTCTGTGCATTGCACCCGCTACCCTCTCAATCCGGGGGACTAAGCGCTTGAAATGTTCTTCAAAGCCCCAGCGGATATCCAAGTGTAGGCCCAGGTACTTCATATATTTACTCACCCTGACCTCAAACCCACCTACACGGATGCACGAGTCGGGTGGTTCCCTGCCTCGTGGCATTGTATGGAACCATAGAGCCTCGGTCTTATGTGGCGCTATCCCGAGACCTAACTCACGAATCTTGGCGACGACAATTCCTGCCCCAAGCTCGGCTAGTCCTTTGGCCCTCTCGATGGTGTCCCCGCTAGCGAATATTAGTGTGTCATCCGCATAGCAGATGACATTTACGTTAGCTGGGAGATCGACACGCAAGACTGCATCATACGCCACATTCCACAGTAACGGGCCAAGCACAGACCCCTGTGGAACGCCGCAATGGATCTTCCTCCGGATCTTTCTACCGTCTTTGTCCGTGTATAGAATATACCTGTCCCGCAGATAGTCTGTGATAACGCCTTGCAGATAGGGAGGCACATTATGGTATGCAAGTCCCTCCCTAATGGCGACCCAGGGTAGGGAATTAAAGGCATTGACTATATCCAAACTTATAGCCAATGCCACGCCACCCCGGGAAGCCGCCTGCTCCGACAAGGAACGGACGCGCATGACTGCATCTATTGTCGAACGCCCCCGCCGGAAGCCGAACTGGCTTTCGGTGAGATCAGGACCAACGCATGACAAATGCTCGTTGAGACGAGTGGCAAGAATCCTCTCGAATATCTTACCTATCTCGTCCAATAGGCATATGGGACGGTATGCAGAGGGAGAATCTGCAGCCCTGCCTTCTTTCTTCAAGAGGACTAATCTTGCAATTTTCCAGGCCGTAGGGAAAGTGGCGTTATGGAGGCAAGTAGTAAATAACTGCCTCAACCTTTCCCCCAGTACTGTTACACTCAACACCCAGACTCGGCCTGAAATTCCGTCGGGTCCTGGCGCCGTGTTTCGAGCTCTCAAGCGACTTACAGCTCATCGTGCCGTCACACTCATCTGGTCTGGCCACTGCCACGGAACTAGGTTGCGGCCTGAGGGACTTGACCGGCCTACCGGGAATAGTGAGCTGATAACTCGTTCCAGCAGGTCAGGATCAAGCATTTCCGTCAATGGAGGCGTCCAGGGCCGGAGCTTACCCAGCACCATTCTATATGGACGCCCCCATGGATTGCGATTGAGTTCCTCCAGGAGTTCATTCCAGGACCGAGTTTTAGCATGACTGATTGCCGTCTGCAATGCCTTAGTAGCCTCTCGGTAGATCTTGTAGAGTCTAGCTGTATCGTCGGTTGGAGATCGCCTTCTTCTCCGGGCTCTAGTGTATGGGCGTCTGCTTCGCAAACAGACTGCTCGCAGTCGAGATATTTCTGCTGACCACCAGTACACCGCCCTCTGCTTGAGGCTACCGATGCGGGGCATCGACATATCGCAGATTTGCGTCATAGTATCCTGGAACCAGTCTACTTCTCTCTTTGGGTTGGATGAAATCTCTTCAGTGTTTTTTGGCCATGTCGCAACAATGGCGGCGGCTTCGAGCCTGTCCCGATCTAGCTGCTTAAGGCACCAACGTCGCGGAGGGATGTTGTTACCGTGGCTGTGGTCGAAACGGCATTGGCGGGGAGCAATATTGAAGATAATGTGGCGATGGTCGGATAGTGTGACTATCTCTTCAGCAACCCGCCAACCTGAAACCAAATGTGTTCCGGAGGGGGTCGCCCATGTTAAGTCTACAATCGACTCCCCCTGCCATCGTACGCAAGTACTTATAGACCCCCGATTCAGTAGCCGGAGGTCCAGTCCAGCCGCCCATTCCTTTATGGTCTCTCCCCTCGGACTGTTTCTAGGGTTCCCCCACTCCCTAGCGTGGGCGTTAAAGTCCCCCAGGACAATAATTGGACGAGGTAACAACCTGCGAATGTTGTCAACCAACTCGTCTAGGTATAACTCATAATCAGCGAGTGACCTGTTAGGTGAAATATAGCAACCAATAATGGCCAGAGTGCCCCATTGTACCACAACATACCCCTGTCCCCTACCCAACAGGGTGCAGGGCGAGGCATTCTTTCCACCTCCCCAGTAAATAGCTACAGATCCCAAGTCATCACCGAACCAACGAGGGTGGTCAGGCACAACGTAGGGCTCTGCGACTACGACTAGGGCAACCTTCCACTCCGCAATAGTCTGCATGAGCAGATTTTGAGCGTTGCGGCAGTGATTCAGGTTACCCTGAAGGACTTTTAAGGGTTCGTGTTTTGGGCCTCCTCAACCTCCATCACCGAGCTTGGACTCGGTTCTATTACTCCTGTCACTGTGGTTGTCTTGTCAGTGGGAATAAAAGATGATTGCTTATTTTTTACAGCACTCTTTTTCGGTGTTACGAAGCATTTCTTACCTAAACGGTGGCCAGAGGGACGCCCAAGGTCCGAGCAGAGTGGACACTTAAGGTCTGTTGCCTTGCAATCCCTAGCCCTATGCCCTGGCTCACTACAGGCGTAGCACCGTTCACTGCGATCGACATTGTTGGGGCACCGGCTGCCAACGTGACCCTTCTCCAAGCACCTGTAGCAGAACAAAGGCCTGGGTTCCAGGAATTCCACTCGAGCGGACACCCAGCCTTTGTTCACGCGCCCAACAGCCGCTAGTTTTTGGATAGCCGTAATTGGGCAACGTACCCAACACGTTCCCATGCTAGTTGGAGATCGGTAGACTTGTCCAACTTTCACGTCATCCACCGAGCAACTTCCCGCCTCAGCAATGGCTGCCGCCAGTTCTGGAGGGCTGACAGCATCATCGAGGTCCCTCAACCGAATGTCCCCCGTTTTAATCGGACGATTCACACGGACATTTAATTCTGCGAGGACCTCTCGTAGTTTGGCTGCCAACTTGTCAGCCTTGGGGCCGCATTCAGGGCCACTGACTTCCATTAAGATGCCCCCGGTCACAGCACGCTTTTGTCGTAATGCCTCAATACCAAAAGCTTCTAGTCGAACCTTAGTTTTGGCGACCTCCATTACCTTAGCATAAGTACTCGTGGTACCCTCTACTAGCGTGATGGTTACCGCTGCAGACTTTGGGGCACGAATATCTTTCAGTTTGCTCTTCTCTTGCCCGGATGCGCGATGGGACTTTATATTTTGTACTTTTGCCTTCTTGGCCACATCTGCCCACGAGTTTGTCGTAACAGGTGTAGATACTTGCAGTACTGGCCCATCTACAGGTGGCAAATCGATCACTGGTGAATGGACGGGCTTGTTCTTCTTTCGCAGTTTTTGTTTTTTAGTTTTGTGCTGCGTTGGAGCCGACGCTGGTTGTGGTGTCATCGTTGACAGCGTACTAGCACTTGTTATAATTTTTGCTCCCAATGGTGGGCGGATATAGCTTTATCGGGAAATAACCTGGCCTCGAATGCCACGAGCTTACTCTCGATCAGCATCCCAATATGCTCCATTAAGTCGTTCTGTCCACGAGAGTGCTTTGTAACTTGCGCTGAATTTCCAGGCACGTTAATAAAGTCTGCATTAGACTGTTCGCGGAAACGCTTTATTTCTTCCGTTAGTTTTTCCGTCTTTATGGTTAAGCTTGAGAGCGCCGAACGCATTTCAGCGTTTTCTTTCTCCAACTTTGCGATAATGTCATCGGCAGCGGACCTCCTAGCAAGTTCGGCGGCCGCTGCTTTGAGATTACGCATGGCTAATCTTAATCCCTGGGCGAAGCTTCCCTTTAAATTTCGGGATCGGTCCGCTACCTCCTCAATGGCCTGGAGCTGATGGTCAATATGTTCCTCAATTATTGCGCCTGATTGAGAACGTAACTCCAGTGCTAACTATTCTGTGCTGGGCAAATTCATTTTCGACCTGGACCTTGATAATGGCGTTGAGAGATCGACGAGATCCTCTTCCGTGTCAATCTCAGTGGCTAGTTCTTCCCCTTCAGTCACCGTTGCAGAGGCAGAGGCTGCCACGGCCTTGTACTTAGCAGCCACAGCCTTAACGCTCGGAGCCTTAGCCTTCCTCTTACGAGTATCTTCTGATGTGACATTTGCGAGCCATCAGACTCACCTCCATCTGCAGAGTGTGCTAATCGCCCTCTTCTACTACGCTTTCCTCTCGAGCAGCGTGCCGGGACGACTGGTCTCACCGGCTTAGTTCCCTCCCCAATTTGGTCCCGGATGTCCAAGCAAAGGAGCACCTAGTACGTAAAGTGAATCTGGGGACCCGCGGACGAAGCAGATATTTCGCCGCAAAACAGTGTGTTGCCCCCCCAGATACGAATCACACAAAATACACAAACTGATGTAGTTCGATTGCAATTTTATATACTGCCATCTCTTTCCTTATTACATATAAATAATATTAGCGTGTCTGTTTGTAATATTAAAATCTATTACTAAAACATGTGGATATACAATATGTCTGTTTTTTTCGGCTAATCTCTGAAACGGCTAGACCAATTTTGACGAGACTTTCACTGGCAGATAGCTGATATAATGAGGAGTAACTTAAGTCACTTTTATTGTACAAATTTTATTTATTTTAAATTCCGCGCAGATGAAGTCGCGGGCACAGTAAGTATGTTATCTAATCTAATAAAGCGGACCAATCTTTAAAAGCCACTCAGTATGGACATGCGTCATATATATGATTAAACACCATTGAATATAGCACGACATGACAATAATATTGACAATTATAAGGACGATATAATCATGCAGCGGAAGCATCTGCCTTCACGCCCCGTGATTATCTATTATAATGCGCCTCTATTGGCAACGAAATTCATTCTTCACAGATACATTTTTCTTTATCGTTGTTACATTTCTTTTCTTCACTACCACACAAAGAATGTTGAAAAAAAATTTGTTTCGTACTAACGGTCTTTAATAATTAGTTCTGATCCATATGAAATGTATTTAGACAAATATAAGTCACATTCACTTAAAGATATCAACACAATTGATGAGTAAAAAGTAAAGTAACTGCCAGACTTTACTAAAACTAAAAGGATTACAAGGTGTATGTGAGTGTTAAAAAATTATTAAGAGTAAGAGATTATTACAGAGGGAATAGTTCACCAGGTTTCCTCACGTTGAGCACGGGATAAGTCAGCACGTAAAACTAACAATTTCATTGGTGTAGTCATCTGGTATAGAACTCAGGTTGCTCGAGTATATTGAATTCACACCCCAGTTTTAATTAATCAAAAGTTTTGTGTTTTCATTCTAGCTATAATCAGAAAATCAGAAAATTAAGAAGTCCTTTTATGGACTCCTTATCTTAATATTTTTTTTTATTAGTAAATTAAAATATGAGTTCGGTTTAGAATTATTGATCCAATACAAATTATTGATCCAATTCAATTTACTTTTGAAAATTTTCTTATCATTTCATAATTTGTTTTGCTTTACGCAAGATGAATATTAAATTAAGTTACGTTTACGCCACAGATTTCCGAGCCCGAAGCGTACTGACGTAATACTTGAGCGCCCCCTTAAAAATAACTTTTCTATGTCATTAGATTAAACTCATTATTGTTCTTTTATAATTCATGATGCTGAAGCCTGTAGCTCGGCAACTGAGCAGACAACATTCGCGGCAAAAAACATTACTCCTACTGTGGAATCTTTAATGCCAAAGTATGCACTTGTCGATCTAAACGTTCGAGTTAACAATGATCTGTCCAGTTCAAGACCAGGGGTAATCAATCGTAGGAATATCATCAAAAGAAAGGATAATAGTTAACTTATTTTTTTTTTAAAGTGACATATGCCTCACGATAAAAAATAAATTGTCTTGTCAGTTCTCATTCTATACTTAGAAATCGAATCACTCATTCTGCAGATATATATCTTATTTGCTACAATAGGCGGCGACTTCCTTTCCTTGTCAAGCAGAGGCCCTAAGCGTATCGATTGACCTATTTGTCGTATTACACTCTTAATATCCGGATCGCCTTGCTTTTCAGTGACAATAGTCACGCCTATATCGGACTTTATTTGTGAGATAAACATGCAATTACTTTACTAAAATCGCAATAACGTTAGACACGCGGAAGTCAAGCCGTAATTTGAATTTAAATTCATTTGGGTATATATTATTCTAATGAATAATTGTGTTATGTTATAAAACATGAAAATAAAAAGTAATTTTTAAAGAATATGATTATCGTATGTCTATGTGTATCGTATAATACTCAGACATAGTCATATACTTAAAAAAAATACTTTTTATTTTATTTTTGTTATAAGATAATATTTTCTCTTTTCGTATTTATTAACATTTAATAACAAGCAGAATACCATAGGCCTATATTTAGAATTTATGGTCTTTCTCTCAAACTTAATAACTATAACGTTACTTGAACCATAGAACAGTTCTGTCTGTCACACTAACTACAAACTACGAGTAACTAACTTGTCAGGATGATGTTGTTTTGGTTCATAATGTAATAAAGCCTATCGTAAATCAACTTGCACTTTAAGAACTTTGAAACAATTTATAAAAAAGTCACTTTACTTTTCGTTGTAAAATATACGCAATAAATATAAAATAACGCAATATTGTAAATATAATAAAAACTTGAAATTGTTTAATTTTGTAGAAAACAAAAACTTTCGGCACTGCGTTCAAACTTGCGTCTTCGGGTTTCGCGACACGAAGCTTTACCAACAAAGTTTACGGGGCCGATTACCTTACGGGGCGAAAATCTCGACTTCAATCCATACTAATATTATAAATGTGAAAGTAACTCGGTCTGTCTGGCTTTCACTTCAAAACTACTGAACCGATACAAATGAAATTTGGCACACAGATCGTCTAGAGCCTGAGAAATGACATAAGCAATTTTTTTAATTGTATAAAAGTGTTGTAAAGGGTTGAAAGATATTTATTTAAGGGCTTCAACGCGAGAATTTCTGAGAACTCTTTGGTAACCTGTGATATATTGAATTCATTTGTCATTTGTTTTTGTGAATTGGTGGCAATTGCAAGTCTTTCAAAATTACGTTGAGTTACGTTGTTGTTACTACGACTTACGTTGTGATCTTACTCAAATATGGAGAGGGCCGCCATGCATGTTTGTAAAGGTTAATAAAGTAAAGATTTAAACGACAGGCGTTTCACTCCAATCCCGAACCCCTTTAGATTAGATTGTAACAATATTGAATAGTATTTCAAAAAGGTGTTTTAAGTCGGTCCGCATATGACTCCTAAATCTTAATCAATATTAATGACTGGCATATCATTTTCAAGATTATAGTTATCAACTGCCATTAAAGAGAAATAACAAATGGCATTTTTTTAAAAGCTTTTTGAAAAAACTCACTTTGGCTCAAAGAATGTTGCAAGGGCCATCCATTGCCAATCGGATTAGCTTTACTGATATTCGTTAAAAACAAACTGTTTTTAAAACTATTTTCTTGTTTTATGATCGATTAGGATACAATAAAAGATTGAAAAACCACTTTTGTTAATTATAATGATTTGGAATTTTTAATTCATACTAATGTGTTGCTTTGGACATTAATACTGTTTTGGTTCCGTTTATAATTAGGCTACGCTAATATAATGTGACCAATCAATTAATAGAAAGGTGTGTAGCTTGTTAATTAACTAGGTAAATTGGAGGATGCTTCGAATATTAATTTGATTGCCATATACCAAAGGCGAGGCGTAAGTATAAAATTACAATCAATTATGCTATTACCGGAAACAGGGTCTAAATAAAAAAAAAATATTCATGATTTGCATAAAACAATAATCTAGTATTAAAATGTGTATGAATTATCTACTTTTACTGCAGTAGTCCAGAACTTTTTTTAAGTTTTGAAGTTTTTCACGTAAAAAGGAAATCCGTCACAGAGTTAATAATTACAAGTAAGAATTTAAGTGTTAGATCAATCTAAAACAATAAGATAAACTCCGTATTGTACTAATGGAGGACTGTATCATCAATTTTTAAGATTTTTTGAGTACTGTGTAGCTCAAAAAGAAAATGATTTCTGTATTCCATAAGTTCATTTCAATTTGATATTTAAATATTGTTAAGCATGCTAAGGCCGGTATAACTCTCTACTATACCTGTACTTACAAATATCTATAATTATACTATATGACTACAAATGATTGATGAAACTAATTTTGAAAAATTGTAAATTCAGCGTTTCGAGCCTTATAAAAAAGGCCCCCGAATTTATTAAGATGACCATAGCTAAAAGACCATAAATCAAAACCATAACACCCACTCACTACAATGTGTGATCATTACACAGGTCATGCCTTAAATTTCAGAACTTTCGAAATTACATTTTTTAGCCTTATTCCTTCAAAGGTTACGACGAAATTGTTCCACGCATACCCGTAGATTACCACGTTATTACAGCTGATAAAATAATAAATTAGCCAATAACTCGCTTCACGGGGGCAATTTAGCTACAGGGCGTAATTCTACGAATTTTCGTAGCGCGTAAATTTACCCGGCAAAATTTAATCCACGCATATTCGATGTAGGAGTGATCGGATCTTTCGAGTCCCTGTATCATATATTATCATAAGAATTTGTTCATGTTTGTATAACATGCGTTATAAGTATATGAAATACTTTAATAAATGTGAGAATCTGCGCAGACCGTGGTGTTCGATCAGAGAGCTATTGGATTTTATCATTGTTAATTACTTAAGCAAACTTATATTGAAAATCCTTGTATTCTTTTTAATGTTTTCGTTTAAAGACAGAAAGTTTAATTTAAACATAACCCTCATTTTTCTTTTATGTCACTTTTCCCCTATGGTGCGGAACTGCGTACAACATTCGTACATGCATACCTATTATATGACAGAAAGCGAAATTTTTTACGCTTTTAAATACACGGTAATGCATTTAAAATTAGGGATGGATTTATATCTTGGGATGTAAATTAATGTTATTTGAGTAAAACTTGAGATTTTTACAACTGGATTTGGTTCATTGCTATTGTTCCGACACTACGCCTATCACTCATTCTCATTCATCAATTTTTTAATTTAAGAAGATTCATATGATCAGGCAGTTTACTTGATGTTAAGTGATA